AAAGTGATGTGAGAAAAAGGGTGAAACCAGATTTTGTTTCTGAAAACAACAATCACGAAGAAAATAATCTTCTCAGTAAAATTTCTTTAGATGGTGATAAAAATAAAACCGCTTCTTCAGTGCCGCAATCAATTGATTCTTTAGGACTAATTTCTAAAACACTTAAAGCTAAGAATAAAACATTAACCAGCTCAGTCCCTGCTTCAGTTTTAGAAAATGAACGAAAAGAAGAAGAAAAAAAAGAACGAAGAAAACAAAGGGAACGAGCAAAAAAAGAAAAAGCTGTTATTGTCAAAGATGAAGATTCTAAAAATCAACCAATAGAAGAACGTCCTGTTCAATTGATTAATGGAATAATAGCTGAAGAGTCAAGTGAAGAAGAAAATCAACAAAATCAAAAAAAAATGAGTTTTGGAGCATGTACTGTTGATGAGTTAAAATTAATTGCACGAAGGAAAAAGATCGCTGAATCAGATGGTATTGAGTACCATGTAAAATTTATTGAGACAATTAATAAAACTATTCCTTTAGTTCGTTCTACTGAAGAAATTAAATATGTTGGGGCATTGAGAGATAATGGAGCGAAAAAAAATATTGCTGAGAATTGGTATCAAAGTCTTTCTGATCAAAAGAAAACGTTAACAGCAGAAGTAGAGTATAAGAAACCAAAATGTCTTCCAAAGCAATATATTAAAGTCAGAACAATAAGTAAATATTCTTATTTGAAACCACAATTTGAGCAAATGATCATTTCTAAAACAGAAAAAGATCCAACATTAAAAGATAAAAATGAAATTCTTCCATCAGAAAAATTGGGTGATGGATATGAACTTTCTGACTCAATTTTATTAGATGGTCCAATGATAATTGAAATGGTTAGATTATTACAAATTACTCCTGTTGAAGAATTTATTCCTGATGATCCAAGAGCAAGTAGAGACCATAGAAATGAATTTAGAGAACAACGTAATCCTCAACCGTTTTATTCTTCGTCATTATCACCTTCTACTCAAAGACCATTATTGATTGAAGTTTATTCTGCTTATGACCCAAAAAATTTATATAATGCATCTTCATTTATCCCTCAACAACAGTACATTGTTGGATCAAATGACTATATGAATTTTAATAGAAATCCATATTCTTCCCTCACTTCCTATAATTGAATTGATTGTTTACTTTTTTAAATTAAATTCCTTCTTGGTTTTCTTTATTTTAAATTTTTTTATTTAAATTAATTTTGAAACAAGTTTCATTGAATTACAACTCTTTTTTAGTATTTTCTAATTTAACTTCATTATTAACTTGTTTTAATTTGTTTAATTGATGTTGGTTAAAGCACCACCCAATAATAGCATATAACATTCCTGTGAGCAACAAAAATACAATCCAATTAGTCCGTGTTGATTGGGAAAATATAATTCCAACTGTTTCAATACTAAAAATGATTAGGAAAAAGTAATGGACAAAGTTAATCGAATGAATCATTTTTTAAATTATAAGTTAAGTTTTAAAAGAAAATATTTATTTCAATTTTGTTTGGTTTAATTTAATTAAAAAACCTTAATTTTTAATATGCTATAATTAAATAATTAGACTTGATGTTTTTATTGTATCTCTATGAAAAGTTTATTGTTATTGGTTAAA